GACTATACATAAAGAAAATCAACCAAAAGGAGAGACATCAGTGAGATCAGATGTTGATAAAGGAGAGGACATTCCGTCCTCACTCCTCTGCCCTGAGAAGAGCCTTCTAGAATTCACTCTGATGAAAATACAGTCCAAGGTGATCTTCTAAAATATGACTCCCGTACAGAATACTGAAGACTTTAATTCCTCTTTGAAACCGATCATTTATCTCAGCTCTCGTTACTCTAAATCACTGGATAATACTGCGCAAGACTTCAAGGGCATCCCTCCAAGTGTGGGATTCAAAATAGTCACTTGTAATGGAGGAAAAAGCAACCACGAACATCTTAGCCCAGAGTGAGGACAGTGGGCTTTTACAGTTGTTGATCTGGTACACAGTTGGTTAACAAAATAACTAAATTACACATCAACCAACTGCTCCATGGGGAGAAGGGGGCGGAAAAAAGACGAAACAAACACTTTTCTTTCTGAAACCTCAGAGGATTACCAGGACTGGAGGAAAGCCATCGTGGCAATAACTCCCAGGACTGAAACAAACAGCCCTCAAATGAGCAACATTTTCCTAAATAAGAACATCGTTCATCATAACACTCGGGGAAAATCTTGCTCAGGGCTAATAATTCAACCTCCGAATCCCTGTTTTGTGTGATCTGCCTCGGCTCCTTCGGTGTTTCCAACCCCCCAGCACAGCATCCTACTAAGACAGCTGGACCCGAGAGTGAGCCTACTGCCTCCCTGACCTGGAAGCTCTTCTGTTTCAAATCGTTCTGACCATCTCTTTGCCTCCTGGCTCTCAGGACCCCAGTGCTCTCCATCTGCCTGTGGTCCTCTTCCTTCACAAATTACCTTGACTATGCTTTTCCAACCTTGGTGCTCGCCCTGGGACAGGATCTGTGGCCCAGGACCCCTCCCCTGCACCGCCTGCCCTATCCCTGCCTGACTCCCCCAAGCTAGCAAGTCCTCCATCAAGCCCTCGGCCAGGGAGGGGACCAGACAGAGGACCAGACAGCCTTAAAACAGTCCACAAATCACCAAGTCTGTGAGTCGAAAACCACCTGAGTTCACGGCAACACGCACACAACAATCGATAGAACAGGATCATTACTCTAATAACCTTCAATTTGAAGGCAGAACTTCTTCCACAGGAACTAATCTTTTTAGTGCACTAGCCTCAGGCCACAAAATGAAGAGGCAGCAAAAACAGAAAAGACCAGACAGGCTAGACCTTTGGGACATTAACGCATATTCTGTAGGGAGGGCACACTGAATCGCTTTTCTTGAGCGAGGAGATCTAAAATTAACCAGTTTGATTTTTGACATTCCTCCTCCCAGTGATTTAAACTTCTTTGATCTCAGAAGGTCTTGCAGTTTCATTGTGTATAATGTGAATCAAAGGAATGTTCCTAAACAGACCTCGGGAAGGTCATGTTTATGTTCAAGTTCCAGAGGAAGGACAATTCAAATCTTTAAGAAAAAAGAAACTGCCAGTAGAGATGCATACAGCTCGAGCTGGAATTTAAAGGGGGAGAAGTAATAAAGTCACAGCAAAAACGAGCAGGCAGTTGAACGTACACGCGCATGTCCTTAAGGGACAACCGGCCTAGGCCTCTGCTGTGATGTTCTGTTCCTTTGAAAGAATAATGATCAGGCTCTGTTACGGCCTCTTCTCTCATGATTAACGTGAAGCGTTTTGCTCTAATGGATCACCAACATACAGAATTTCATGCTGTATCTTTCAGAGAGTAAGTGTAACCAAAACTCAATGAGCAAAAAATGTGTAAGAAAAGTCTGAGATTATCTCTGGATGTTGGTGTTACAAGTGTTTTGCATTTTCTTCTTTATGCAAATCTGCAAATTACAAGTATTTTTTACAATGGATATTTATTAATAGAATACTTTTTAAAGAAGCTATAGAAGCATACAATCATTTACTAAAGGTTTACAGTCAGGCTGTCCAGGAGGAGAACAAACCAAATGAACTTGATTGCATCACACCATTTAAACCCCTGAAGTGTCCTATGACGTGGGTATCATCACCAGGTTACACGCGAGGAAAGCGAAGCTTAAAAGGGCTGAGAACTTGCCTAGGTTCACTCACTAGTGAGCGGCAGGGCTGGGGGACGACTGAGATCTGTTGGTCCCCAGATCAGGACACGTTAGAACTACCTTAAAGGTCAGTCTCGGCCAAAGACAAGGACAAGAGAGCTGCTGAATCTGGGATTCGCCAAAATAAATTCTATGCCCAACCTTATAAACATCGTTCAAGTTTTCTCACTGATGAAATGAAGATGCTGGCGTGTGCTACCTCTTAATAATTCTATTAGCTATAAGATCTGAAAAAGAGAGTTCTACATCATCCTGTCAGGCTAGCTGCATTTATATCAAAAGGATACAATTGGCTACACATCTATTCATGTGATACACTGATTATACACACACACACACACATATACACACACACACTGAGGGTATAGCAAATATAGTCACTCATTACGGGAGATGCTTAAAAAAGAATCCTTAATCCCTACTCCCCTCCCCTCCCCCACCCACTCCCCTTTCTAAAGTTTTAAAAAGGAATGCAAATGGTCACAGATGTCTACACCTGTGGGTGGTTCAACTCTCTGGACTGGTCCACTGCATCAAACACCTGAGTGGATTAATATTTTGGTCTAACGACTTGTTAGGAATCGTTGTCACTGGGTGGGTGGGGGTGACAGACAAAGAATTAAAGTGACAATACGCCAAGAAAAAGGGCTTCACACCCATCATGTCCGTCGGTCTCCACGTAGTCCTCTGGGAAGGGCCACGCCTGCATCCACACCAAGGACACAAGAGCCAGTCACCCACGCTATAAAGGTTGTCACAGTCTAGTGACCAGGGATAGGGCTCCTCCCTTGCGGTACAGTGCAATT